CAAGTGTGGAAGACCTATTTTTCAACATATCGCCCTCCCACATCCATTCTGTCACCTCTTTAGAAAGCTGTGGTCTCCTTTGTAATCCATGTAGCACTGCACCAATGTTTGGAATGTAAAGAGATACATATAATGGCTGATAAAATGGAAACGCCAATGTAAAGTCACTTGATAGGGCTCTGGGCCACCACATGAGGCCAGTATGTGCGGTGACAAAGTCTACAAATACCTGGCATTCTACACTAGGGGTTTGGCTCCCCTCTTCCAGGAGAAAGCCAGTCAACTCATGCCTGGTTAATGGAGGTGGAAAACGCTATCTAAAGTGTTGTTCCAGAATGTTCAGTGAATGCTGAATTGGGTCCAGATCTGGTGACTTAGAAGGCCATGACAAATGGATAATAGCAAGTGTGGGCTCTTTGGATGTGAGTACTGTCATCCTGGATGACACCCTACCTGGTATGAAAGAAATGCTGCAACAGGGATAAAGACGAACACCCAGTAGCATAAAGTAGCAATTAGCTGACCATGCTTAAAAAAAAAAAGAGTGTTTCCAAACCATGCAAGGAAAAAAAAATTCACCTCACAATATAAATGAACCACTAAAACCTTTCCCTGTTTTAGAACACAGCACTCAGGGCTGTAGACGTGTTTGGGTTGGTATCACACGTGCACTGGTCTTTTGGTCGAGAACATGGAGAAAGGGGCTCTGACCACATGAAAGTTCTCCACTTCTCGTTAACCTTAACCTTCGCACCACTGGACTTGCAAACCTGTAAAAATACCCACCTTTATATAGTTCTAGGCAGACTGTTTTTGATTCAAATGGCTTCTCACCTCCCGGGTAGAAGTCTTCATTTGATTTGCAGTTGCTTGCCTATTTTGCCTTGTCCTTCACTTAATGCACAGATATTGTACAAATACTGCTGCCCTTTAATTTTCCCCAGAGTTCCATGCTGATATCAATTTATACACTGATGCTCAATAAAACACCAGCATTAATAGCTGTAGTCACAAATGCTCCTATCAAACGAACCTCAACAATCACTGATCTTTCAGGCCCACTGTGACTTCACAACTGTGCAACAGGCAACCAACACAGACCAGCAGCATATTTAGACATGTAACTAAGCATACCAAAATATTTGCTTAATTAATGCATGAGACACATCAGTCGACATCTTACTTTCAATATACATGGTGTCTCTCATTAACTCATGTGTTTCCTCAGACATATAGAGGTGTGGGACGTCAGGCTGCAGAAAAGTTTACATTACACATATCTAAGAAGCTTGTTTGAGCTGTTACCACACTCAACTGAGAAATGGGTCTCAGTGTTGGACTTTTTTGTTCTGATGAAGAAACTGCCTAAGTGTAGATGTGTGTGCCGAGTTTGACACATCAGTGATAGCAACAAGCTCTAAAAGGTAGGCTAGACTGACTCGGAGACCAAACCACAGGATGTTATTACAAGGGGGTCTACAGCCAATTAAAACAATGGCAGGAGGGTTTGGATGTGTAAAAGACATATTGAAAAAGAAACTTTCACCTGTGAAGACAAATTGGTGAACAACTCACAAATTGACCTCCTATGACTGTCACATTTAAAGGGGTACTGCACTCCCCAATTCTAAATTAAATTTCCGTAACAGAATGTAGAAGTACTATGTTGTCACAAATTCCTGATCTCACCACAGGTGAGAATGAGAATTTGTGCAATTTGCGACATGAAGCTGCCCTTCCTGCTCACTAGTCACTGCAATGACTAATGTAATATATGAGCGAATAAGTATAGGCCATGCAGCAGACATTTAATCACAGAAATGTTCCAATGCGATATGCATGCAGAATTCACAAGAAAGTTCCATTTATGGGCAAAACCTTTACGAAATCGAGAGCAATATTTCTATTGGCTTAAAAAAAAGATCTATTCACAAGCCTGCTTGTTTACAATGTAATAGGGCTGTTTCACCTCATCGGAGAATTTAATGCCTTGTTCTGAATCGCAGAATATGGCACTATGCATACCTGGAAATGCAGTCTATTTTTTGTATAACCTCCAAGTTACATCACTTAACAGTGTACATTTTACTTTTATTGTGGTTTGAAATGCACTCATCAGTGCTAATTCTTTCTAACCCCCGAAATAATGTTGCAGCTCCCCTTTAAAGTATCGAAAACAAGGTGGTCAAGAATACTACCCTTTACTGAGGAAAATATTGAAAATTCTAGATTACACACACTTCTACACTTAGGCATCCAAAGTCTAAATCAAATAGTTTATCAATATTACTTCCCTGAACAGCCTATATTGTCAAGTCTGAATAATAATAATAATAATAATAATAATAATAGCTTACATTTATATAGCGCTTTTCTGGACACTCCACTCAAAGCGCTTTACAGGCGATGGGGACTCCCCTCCACCACCACCATTGTGGTGGTGGAGGTGGAGGAATAATTAAGAGTCATTTTAAGATATTAACCTTAAAATATAACCTTAAAATATAAATATATGACGCATCATATTATTTAAATAAATCACTGGAATGTTAAGTTTTCAAATGATTAATTGGATTAGTGGTATTGAAACTCTTTACTTTGTTTCTTCCTCGCTGTACTTCTGCTGAACATTTCAATTCTGTTGTCCTCTGCTGAAATGGTGAAAAAGTTCCACATCGCCGACACTTTCACTATGCAGCAACTGTACTGTACCGAGTCCAGTGCGTCAGTGCGTGCACATATACAAAAATAGAGCACAGCATTATGGGTTGTAATTATCAGCTGTAATTCCAATTACAGAACGAAAATAGGAAAATTTAATTATTAATCGGAGAACAATATATCAGCCTCCGATACATCGTGCACCCCTAAATATAAAAAATATTTTGTGGATATTACAAACATGTACTCAGGTGCAACAAGCATACACAGTAAGATGTTTAATTACAGCACTGAATGGAGGCTTCTGCAGTGCACACTTCACTTTGGGAATTCTTCATGGTCTACAACTCCACAACAGACAGGACGATCTGTGCTCCCATCCCTAACATATGCTTGCAGTGGAAAACCATTTCCATTGCACCATGGGGAAAAACATATTAAGCACAGGCCAGGTGTGGTCTCTGATGGAGAATAAAAGATTACTGTTGTGTATCCAGGAAGTATGAATATCAATATGTAGTAGAAAAAAAAAACCCATTACAGCACATTTTCACACAGGACCAATGAAGGAAAGTGAGAAACACAGAACAGGAGCCCAAAGTGCAGTTCTTCAACATCTTGTCACAAATATTGGACACTGATATTGAAACAAGAGGAAATTCTCTCTTGACATTTTGCTTGCTCTAGTCATGCTTCTACATAACCTGCCTTTTCATACTTTGGCTTTGCTGCTTCTAATGAAAGCACTGAAACAAACATGTAACTGTCTCTCCTCACAGGTATCAGACCACAGAACTAAAAGGTGTAAAATAAAGAATAAATCTGGAATACCATTTTTCATCACAGAGGTAAAAATCAAGAAATATTTAAGAGATTTTAGAGCTGCATGAAAAAACTCAAATTGTATCCTACTCAAGGTCAGAATGACGATGCCCAAAACAAATAACACTTAATGGCTGTACTGTATTGGCAAATCATTACCCTTTAAGAAGAAAAGTTTCTTTGCCCACTGAGATAAAATAAATTCTTCATAAATGCTCATTGTTTGGGTCTTCATGAACTGCACTTATTATTCAATGACAATAGTTGTAATTTACTTTCTTTTCCAGTCAAGAACATTTCTCACTTTGTGGAAATACAGAGTAAGAAAATTACAACTCGGAGTCAACTCCAGTGTAGAATCACAGAGAAAAACTCTCCTGCAACATTGTAATGAACACACATTCAATAATAAAAAGAATGTTTTATGAAGAAAAATTGTATTTTTAACCTTTGGCCTTTGAAACAATAGATGTGAAAATGGAAAACTTGACCATAACTTAAAAAAAAAAGGACTGCAGGTAATGTTTGCACCAGAGGTCAGTAATTGAGAAGTCACTCTGCACATTTAGGCAATCTCTGAAAAGTGTGAATTTATTTTGTGTTAATGTTGTCCCCCTGAAACCAACAGGGGAGAAGCGAATTTAATGTCAATGAAAGTGAGCAAAGCATGATGAGAAAGTGGTTATGACAGACTGTAAAACCTCTTTATAGCTTCCATTTTAGTTTTTTTATGCAGTGTACAGAATTAAAATAGTGCAGATGGATTTTGTGCAAAATTGTTCAAGAGAGGAGGGCAACATGCGGTGCAGTTTCTTTTTTCCCCCAGCAGGTCCGTTTACTAAACAGCCATTTTAACATGATAAAACACAACGTACCACATATTTTGAAGATGGACTGAAACAAAAACAAAAAAAAACAAGCAAAGAAAATAATCCAAACAGCATGTATTTACTGTATACAATTAGCAGCCTAGCAGCTAAAAATAGAACAAAGGGCAAAAGTCATTGGGGACTACCCAAGGAGGCATGGCATTATGGCCCCTCAAATAATCTCGGCAGACCTGAAACGGTTTCCTGCGTTAGTCAAAAATAACCAGCACATTCGTTTTGCCACCCAGCATGGCTTCCAGACTTCGACGCCTCGGCAGTCAAGTCATTGTGAAGGCGGAAAAGGTTCTCAAGCAGCCTGGACTCCACCTCTCACCGACAAAGAGGAAGGCTGTACGAGTACGTGTGAAAAGAGGAGGGCGATGTCCAAGAAGGAGGAAGGAGGGGTGATGGTGGTGGGGGGTGGTGGGGGAAGGGGAGTAGTGGCTAAAACTTTGGCTGGTAGAGGGACACCCGCCCGCTAAGGCACCCAGAAGCCAGCTGGCAGTGTGTGGGGGAGAACTTGGTGGTGAGCACGACGTCGCTATGGGAGTAGATAGACCTGATCTCCCGCAGGCAGCTGGATTCCTTGGGCAGGCAGTCCACCAGTTCACTGCACTGCCCGTCGAAGGCCATCAGCCGGATCCCGTAGCCGTAGGGTGAGCAGATGAGGCGGCCGTCGGGGCTGAAGCACAGTTCCTTGATGTAGCCCCGGCCCACGTTGGCCTCCTCGATGTAGTGGGTGAGCTTGAGGGAGCAGCGAGGGGAGATGGGGCGCACTGGAGTGCCTTCCTGGAACTCGTACACACACGTCCACTGCAGAAGAGGAAGACCTGGTGTTACCGTTTCCACAACCTCCCTCAAGTACAAATACGGGAGAGCCAATTCTGTGCTTCCTCACCTACGAGTTACTAGCTTGCGATATTATTTCACATTTTGGTTAAGTGTTTTGCCAAGACTCGTTAGAAGTGTCAGTGTGACGTAAGCTTATGCTTTGAGGCAATTTAGGTTTTTAAGCTTGCATCTTAAAAGGCAGAGCAAGCAAGAATAACAACTGTTTTCTGATCATGATTGAAAAATGAATATTCACTTGTTGATAACAGAATCTAATAATAGTCTAGTCTGTACAATTAATTTTTTGCAAATGATGATGCTTATAATAGGCAATGGAAATCTCAAAAAATAAAAGTATAAAAATAATCCAAATGAATTTCTCTTAAATGATCCTGCACTGCAATGCTTCTTTGTCACATACCTAATAGTTTAATATTTCTTATAAAGTGGTTTTGTACTTTTGCTTGAAATGTTCAATTTCTGTTGTACCAGCAAGGCTTGTGTGGTAGAATTAGTATGTACAGAAAGATATTTTACCCTTTTCACCTTCAATGAAAAAGATCTGGGCAGTTTAGCTCCCGAAAATAATTTCCTTAAACATTCTGGCAAGATGGCCCCCTAACAAGCTGAATGTGTTGGGATTCTGACAAAAACTAGGATGTCTAAAATGGGGTAAAGTGATAAGCTGTCCAACATCATCACGATAAGGGAGACATCCTGACCGAAGTCCTGTCTGGAGTACTCTTGTCTATAATCCATTGACAGGCTAATCCAACAATGAGGAACCTGCTATAGGTGGTGAAGAGAGCTACACCTGATGATGTAATGACCAATTACCATTACTTGTGATATCTTGATTTAAAAGATACCTCACAGTAAAACAAAATTTCAGTTTCTCCCTCCGAAACGTTCTGACAACTTGATCGCAAAAGGAATTGTGTGTGAGTGAACATCACTGTCTTACCTGCGGCAGAAACTAATTTAGCTGAACAGGAAAAATGCTAGAGACAGAACTCCAAATTTTGTAAATCTGAACTTTGCCCAAGACTACCTCTGTAACAAGAGAAAAGATGTCTGGTACAAGTTTTCAGAAGAGCACCCCCAAATATAATTTTGCCTGATCAACTGAATAATACATTTGGGCTTTTGCTGATACTATTAAGATTCAAGGAGTATGCATGCGGACTAAGTTTCACTCCACTCAAATCTCGACTTGCGGATCTTCCCAAGTTCTGAGAGCTCGTGCTATGAAATCTTACTGCAGTGCAAAGCAAAATACAGACTTCTTTCCTTTTCAAGCGCAACGTAGGTCATGGGTCACATAGAATTTGGCCAAGACTGTGACTGCATCCAGCATTTCACTCTCCAAGGAACTTCAAAACTTCATCTGGACTCTGCCCAGCCAGTGTATTATTCAGAAGTGAATACATTGAGTATTGACACTGTAACCCTTGAAGAGCAACTTATTACTGCAAACAAGTATATATTTGAGAAATATTAAATCAGTTAAATAATTAAATGTTACTTGTCTTTTGAGTGTTTATGAATCTATCTGTATAAGACTTATTCTCGATAATGAGTTATAGTCACTACATTTTCAAACAACCATGTATTATTAGCTATTGTATACAGCTGTTATTATTTATAGTTACTGAATGATTGATCCTTAATATACTACAGATATACACTCGTCTTGATTCATTTTTGGCATTTATTATTTGTGTGAATAAAACTGTATACTGTATCTTTTGATATATACAGTAAGCATGTTAACAGTTGTTTTGAGTTATTCCTAGAAGCCGCGAGGTGTTCTGGGGCATTACAATTACAACTGTTTCAGTACATTCAAACCATCATCCCTACACTCACTCAGTTTACCTGTGAATTCTGGAATGTCAATCCTAGATAAACAGAAATGGGTTTTGTTGTATATATTTTTAGTTGTCCTGTCCTCCAATAAGCACAAATCCTGTCTTGGAAACACCCACATCTAGACAGCGCTGGCCTGTACCCACCTCCTGGTCATCGGTGTTGCTGGAGCAACGGATCAGGGTGGCCCAGCCCTTGGGGTGCAGCTGAAGGGAGGTGATGCAGTTGCCCCTGTCCCTCTCTCCGGGGATCTCTGGAGTCAGCACCTCCAGGCTGTTTCGAGGAGATGCTCCTGTTCAAACAGAATGGCCAAAGACGCGGAGGACCACAATGTTACATCACGAGTAAGCAAGACTGCCAGCGCCTGATTTTTAAAAGTAGAGGACAGGACCACCACATGCATGTCGGTTCAAAATGTCATTAAAACCAGTTGAGACTTTAGTGGGCATTTCATTAGGACCTATGCTTAATATGGATAAAGATGCTTTGAAATAATATGGAAACACCAAAAGATTCAACAGATAGTTTTTTAAGACAATAGATAGTGTTGCCTAAAATATGAGGAATTTGTTATAAAGATACAGTGAAACATAAGGATGGTTACAAAGGTTCTTGCTTTGTTTTTTGGTATCATACTGAAAGTGTGCTAGTAGCAGACTGACCTATGGATCTCATATAGCAGCTTCTTGAAAAAAAAACTGGATGTTTGCTACAACAACAAGACTGGGTCGTTTGTACCCTACTCCCACAACTCTTGGTGTAAACACATGCTTCCGAGTTTGAAATTCCCAATGCAAATGTTGTTTCTACTGGTGTCCTTTTCTTCTGGTTTCACCGTTGCTTAAATCAAATCCTTTTAATCTCTGATCAAAAAGATTAAATTAATTGAGCCTATCAGTGCAAGACATTGTTTTTAGTCCAGCAATGCACTTGGTTGCTCTTTTCAGCCTGATTCCAGGTCACTAATGTTTTTCTTCTGTCTTGATAACCAATATTCTAAATGAGGTATTAGTAGTGCAATTTACAGTCCTTCTAGTTTAGTGTCATTTGCAAACTATCATCTGATTAGTTATAAAAATTTAGATCTCCACCATCTTACTATAGATCTAAAAGAGTATTAACAGATTCTTAAGGACTACAACCTGAGAAAGAATCTTTTTATGACTTGCTAAAATTCTTCAGAACGTCTAAATGTGCCATATTATATACTCTATTTGACAACACTACAGTTGTTACATGTTCAAAGACCACTAGCATATTAAACAGGATCTGTCTTTTCTAAATCCATATTTGAACCAAAAAGATTTGGTATCATTCATTATAATTGTCTCTAAAACTTTGCATGTCACAGAAGTAAGACTTATTAGTGAAGAGTTACTTATTGCGTCACCCTTGTAACAGATTAAACAATTTTCCAGTCTTGAATTGTTCATCCTATTCTGTAATGAAAGATGCCTGTTCTGTCAATAGACTGAACCATTAGTGAAGTGAAATATTTCACCTTTGTTTTCAACTGAGTAGGATTACCTTTTAATGCTAAGTGAAAATGTAAGAACTGGGGAGTAAAAGACTTTTACAAGAAAGAAAGATTTTACAAGATGAGTGATCTCCAATTAAAGAGACAGGGAAATTACAGGCAAGGATGAAACATAACACATAATTTCTGCTAGTATTCATTTGAGAATCTAAAAATACATAAACCGTTGTGTGACAACTGGAATATATATATATAATGCTTGGATTGAATTTTTTTTTAAATGTCATAAGAGGTTTCATGGCCAAACAACAATTTACACTACAACTTAACTGAGTCCAGTTCTTCAAGGTGGGAGCCCTAAATATCCTAACATTTTAAATGAGCACATAGCTAACCTCAAATCCTATACTAAAACAACTACTGGTAATTTCTGAAGTGTGGGACACACTTTTATATACATCATACATGGTGGTTTACAGAATATTCTAAGGTTCTTCACAATTACATCATACTAAAGATGTGCGTTAGCCAAAGGAGCTATAACTGACTCACTGAATTCACTGGTAAAGTGCGTAATACACAGACCACATGCAAATCAAGGGCTGAATATTGCATTCTCAACGTTACAGGATTAAAAGGGGACTCTGCAGAAGTCAAAGGCATGCGCGTACCCTCCCTCTGTGATGGCTGCGATGGGATCTTGATGGACTCATTGCCGTGCCGTGAGCTCCTTGTGCACCGTGAGCCAGACGTAGAGTTGTCTGTAAAACACAGTATCGCGAAACACGTGACCTCCCTTGGAGTTAAATTATATATTCAACCCAGGGCACATACAGCAGCGTGAACGTGAAACTGAGCTCTCACATTTTCGCGACAGTCATGAACTGCAAGAGGGATCTCTCCAGTTGTTTTCTGAACGTTGATTTGCTTGAAGAAAATGAAAATACGATTTCCCATACAAAACAATATATATTAGAAGAATTTATGTTAAAGATAAAGTTCACCAAATTGTACTGGTGCAGGAAAAAGATATATAAACTTCTAAAATCAGCGGTTTTAACTAAGCTGCCCAAGCAGCGATATACCAAAGTGAGATGAAGTTTACACTTCAACAGTTTAAGTGACCTACTTTATTAAACTGCAGTCCCAATTTCTCAGACCGGTTATTAAATTTTTGTGACAAGAGATTTAATCTGTGATTTAGTTGCAAAGCCCTGGTGTTCCCATGGGTGAGAGTAAGAGTTCCCACGAACTGTGACGTTATGCGACCCTTCCTGCTCACTAGTCACTGTAATGACTAATGTAATGCAATGTAGGAGTGAATAAGTACAAGTTGTGCTGCAGACATTTCACCTCAGAAAGGTTCCAACGTGATATGCATGCAGAGTTAACAAGAAAGTTCCATTTACCGGCAAAACCATCTGGAAGTCAAGAGTAATATTTCTACTGGTTTAAAAGAGAAATATAAAAATAGTGTTGCAGTTCCCCTTTCATCGCGATTCTAAGCGTGGAAAAAGAAAGCATGCATATTAAAGGCCAACCTGAACTTAACGTAGTCCTCCTGGCCCTGAGAATGCGGTAACTCCCCACATCCAGGGACTGAGTGAGGTCTAGGTCGTGAAGGATCAGCAGATAGCCAGATGATGTGGAAATTAGCATTTTGGAGCAGTCTGGCGTTAGACGCATCCTCATGAGATAGCGGGTGTGAAAGAACTTCTTATGTGGGCAGCCATCTTCTGTGAACCTGGAGGAAAGATGTTTCAGGACTGTTACTGACATTCCTAGTCAAAAACTCCCCACCACCCCCAAGTCATAGAGGGGGAACTTGCCTTAAACCTACCACCTGTCTGAATTTACTTCTGATTTTCCAAAAAATATGAAAACAGAACAAGTATTCACTCCCGCAACCCACACACAAATTTGCTACTGCTAGAAGCACATCTTTGTACCCTCCATTATTACTGTAGTTTCCAACATAGACAGCCATTTTTTTCCATCCGAATGAAAGCATGATCAAGCATTTCCATGCACTCCACTGGAAAAAGTAAGAGCTAAAGCAAAACAAAAGTCCAAGAACCTTCGTTATTGAAGGGAATTGTAACTTTCTGTTTACTGTCAATTTAAAGAGCCATGTGGATGGCTGAAGATGGAAAGAACTGGGGCTTGGCTCCTTCGTTGAAAATTAATTTGCGTTTCAGAAAGTGCTTCCAATGACACAAGATGACTTTTAGAAAAAAACAGAAAAGTCAAATCACTGAGCTCCTGATGGAGAAGACAGACAGATTTCATATCTAACAAGCCTGTCACAGGGTTTGATGCAGTAAGAAAACACATTTTTATGCCAACGGCACAACAGTCCTATGGAAAACTGGACAATTACACATTTTTCATTATATACCCATTCCATTTAGGATAATCGTTGTTTACCCCCAGCTCAGCTCACAGCAAAAACTCCTGTACTGCGTGAGGAGAATAAGGATGCCATTTGCACCCTAAGAGCCAGGCTCTCTGAGATATTTATACAAAACCAGTATGAAAGAAAAAACAAACAAACAAACAAACAAACAAACAAACAAACCTCAGTTTAGACAGTTTTACCAAGGTTATTTTAAAAACAGTATGTATATATAGATTATTTTCTTTAGATTATCCTGCTGTATTTTTTATGCAATATCCAGAATCTTTAACTATATTATCCTTCATACCAATTTATACTATGGAATAGTACTGTGACAGTATGACATTGACCCTTGACCAACCTTTTGACACTCTGCAAGATCCAGGGTGCCTGATAAGAGTCTGAAGGAAATCACAGGTGTCTCCATTTTACTGGGATCCCAGTTACGCTCCCAGCCCTCAGGCAGTTGTGGAACACCTCCCTAGAGGAATCCTTCTCACCGTCGACTACGGAGACCCCAGCCCCATAGGGAATGCTCACTTGAGCAACGTTGGGTAGGTCTTTTTTTTAATAAAGTGCCCCCCTTTACCTATTCGTGTCCCATGTTATCACGTTGCCATCGAAGCCTGAGGTGACGAGCAGCCGGGTGTTGGTGTCGTATTCGATGTTCTTCACCCAGCTGGCGTGGCCGTGCAGAGAGCAGACTTTGGAGTTCAGCTTCCTCAGATCCCAAAGGGCGATCGTGGTGTCATCGGAACAGGTAGCAAAGAGGCGGTTGTCCAAAAACCTGGAGGTAAGATGAAAAACTAGGCTGGAG